CTTTATTATTTAACTTGGTTTGTGACAGATTACTTTAAGTTTGTGACATAAACCATCTAGATGGTTTGAGCACACACAAACGTACCTATTCTCTTTTTAACAATTAAATTTAAATGTATGTGTTTGTGTGTGCACATGCCGTAGTGCATGAGTGGAGATCAGAGGAGAAATTGTAGGTTCAGGGAATTAAATTCAGATGATCAGGCTTAGTGACAGGCATTTTTCTTTTTAAATAGAAAAAGAAATTCTAAAATTCTTTGAAAATCCCATACCATGTATTGTGATCATGTTCAATCCAACTTCTCCTAAGTCCTCCCAGCAACAACCCTATATCCATACCTCCAATTGTGTATGTATGTATGTGTGTGTGTGTGTGTGTGTGTGTGTGTGTGTGTGTTGTTACCTACCAAGTTCACTCTGTGCTGCTCATACACTCTTAAGTGTGGGATCATCCACTGGAGTGTGATTGACCTCCCCTCAAGCCACACCCTCAAGGGGAACTGTCTCTCCCTCCTTCAGAATCTGCTTACCTTCTACAGTTGTTCAGTTAGGGATGCTCTGTACCCCATGTTAGACCATCAGCTGGTTTGATCTTAGGTCTTACTCAGGCAACTGCAATTGCTTCGAGCTCCTGGCTGCAGCAGTTCTGTCCATGCTCAGAGGATACTGTTTTGCTTCAAATCCTCCCCAAGTTCTGGTTCTTGTAATCTTTCTGCCCCCTTTTCTGCTATGGTGCCCAAGTGTTGGAAGGGGTGATAGACATCCCACTCATGGCTAAGTACTCCACTGACACGTGTTCTCTGCCCTTTGGTCAGTAGCAAGTTTCTGTGTTGACTGCCATCCACCACACAAAGAAACCTCACAGTGAGTTCTGAGAACTGTAGAGAAATACGAATTTAGAGGGCAGATTGATAATATGTCTATTTAGCTGAGTAATAGTAGGTTCACCTCTAGGGCTATAACCCAAATATATGTTCTCAGCCACATTTACAATACCAAGCATGTATTTCTTGCTGTGAAGTGGACCAATCAAAAAGCAGTTAGATACCCCATAACATCCATGCCACCCATAGGCACATCTGCAGCACCGTCTTAATTGCAACTCACAGGGGTCACTGATCGATAAGACTGTCACTACCATTTTTATTTCTTAATATTCTAGGTTGAAAATATCTGGTGTCTTCAGCAAGGGGCCTACTATTAAATTCTGGTGGGTGACCGAGAGTGATAACAATAGACTGCCAGTTAGAAGAGGTTTCCAGGATACCTCTCAGTCGAGGGGTGGCACTTCACATCTGGGCTTCTTACTCGGCAACTTATGGTCTCTGGAAGGAGCATCAAGTCCAGTTAAGGTTTTTTCATGAGACTATAAAACGGGAACATTTTTATTAGAATGTGAGAAAAAATTAACAGCTCAGGGAAGCTGTAACCCTTAGCAATTGTCAGGAGGAGGGAGATGGAAGGAGGGAGAATGTGATGACTTAAGAAAAAAAGCAAGGCCAGGTGTGGTAGTCCATATCTTTTAATCCCAGGGCGTTGGAGTCAGAGGCAGGTGGATATCTGTGAGTCTGGTCTACATGGGGAAATCCAGGTCATCCAGAAAACTACACAGGGAGTCACGGCCTAAAAAACAAAGGAACAAGGAAGCTGGCAAGCAGGTTCCATGATGGAGTCAGCGAAGAACTATATGACAGACAAGCAGTTGCATGGCAGAAGGGTAGGAAGTGAGAAAGCATGCCCCCGCAGGACCTGAAAGAAAACGATAGAGAAAGACAGGAAAGGCAAAGTTATGGTTTTCTGAGTAACTTAGAAGAGTGGGCAAGCTGCAGGGTCACAGGGTTAGCATGAGGCAGGAGACTACATTGGGGAGGGGTTCTGAAGGGAAAGTACAAGATCTCATTAAGGGTATAATTATTTCTCCCATCTCCTTGGCCTCACTTTAGGGAAATCAGCTTTCCTGAAGGGTGGTCTCCTGACCAGGTGATTGATAGACCCAGCTGGATTAGCTCTTAAGGGAAGAGATAATGGTATGTAATAGTCTAATCTTTGTGACAGATCAGAATGTCATGTTTCCGCCCAGGGCCAGAGGTCGAGTCCATTCTCAGCAGTGCCCTGGATAGCCATCCTCAATGATCTCCAAGGCCGCAGTAACAGGATTAGAAGTCAAATCACAGATCTGGGGATAAGATCTTGGGACAAGTTAGGAGTTTTGCTTGCTTTGCTTTTACTTTTGGTAGATTATATTTGGAAATACAAAGAATCTCTAAAGGAAGTAGGATAGGACAGTTGGTGAAGAGCCACTCTTTGTTTATTCTTTAAAAACTACTTCTCAAAAAACCTCAAGGAATATCAACTTCCCAAGAAAAGAAAAACAAGACATTTAAAAAACAAAAACAAAAACCTTAGATGGACTATTTCAAAGGCATCTCCAGGGCTGCCAGGTCCAGCTATTCCATTTTACAAACAAGCACTCCAGGCAAGTTTGGAGTCTTGTTCACAGCAGGAAGCTTGTTTAGATCAGAGAGGTGAATATCGGGTGTCCTTCCCAACACGGAGCCTGGGAGCAGTTTCTTTCCAGAAGTTTAGGGAGTCCAGGTGGGTGAGCAGAGGGGGCAACTTGTTTTCTTGTCACCATCCAGACCAATGCTGGAGCTGAGACTTCTCTGTCTACACAGTGAATCCAACAAGAGTAGAAGCTGAAGCTTGCCCGTTCCCCACAAGGAGGGGGTTAGTTTGGAGTTAGTATGCATACCAGGCACTCAGTGCTGCTTCCCTTCCTTCCTGGGTCTGAATCCACTCTTCCCAAGGATTCACTCCAAGGGGGAAAGGGGTCTGTGGAATGCTGGGCTTTATCATGTAGATGAGATGGAGGCCCTCATTTTGTGTTATTAGCGGGGTCCCTGAATAGGTTCTTGCCAAGGTCTATCTGGAGTGTCTGCCTACAGGAAAAGTGATTACAAGAATGCAACAGTCAAGGGACCTTGGAGAAATTTAATACAGAAATTTGCCTATGGGAAATGCACAGGAGTTCTGATTGTTGGTTGGCTTGGTTTACTTTAGAAAAAAAAAGTTATATGTATGTTTATTTATTGGACAAATTGGAAAAACCATTTAAGATCTCTGTCTTAACGGAACCAATTTCAGGTTTTTCCGATATTTCAGTGATTCACATAGCTCACAACAGGCTGGTGTTTCTTCCCATTCTCAAATTTCTTTAATTTGGGGAGTCCACTTGTTCCTCTTTTGTTTTTATTGAAAATTTTCATTCAATTTTTATATTTTACAAATGAGGAGAGCCCCATTTTTTTCAGATGGATATGTGGTAAATCTGCATACAGCCTGGTCTTCAGGTTGGGTTTCTGTCTCCTGTCTCAATGATAATATAAAATCATATTTGAAAAAATACATTTTATTTACCAAGATGAGTCCAACCATCTCTCCAAATAATTTTTCTTAAAATAAAAATGTCATTGCTATATTCAAATGAGAAAATAGTTTTATCATTAAAGTTGGGGTGAAAGCTTATACACATAATTTTTTTTCCTCTAAATTTATTTCCAAGTACCGAAAAGAGGCTGGAAAAGTGCTCCTGTGGCTTAGAGTGTTTGTTGTGCAAGCATATAGACCAGATTTCAGATCCCAGGCCCAGGTCTGTGCATCCCTGTAACCCTAGCACTAAAAGGGGTGGAGGCAGAAGGATGACTGGGATGAGCTGGCTGCCAACAAGTTCCTGGTTCCCAGAGAGCCCTTTTGTCCGAAGAAAAGGTTAGTGAGTGATAGAGGAAGAGACAGACGTCCTCCTCCTACCTTCAGGCTTACAAGGTGTGCACACCCACACACAGCTAAAGAAATAGTTGGCTAACTAAAACTTTCAAAAAAACAACAAAATGGCAAAATGCAAATAGCTGTTATAGTTGCATGGAAAAAACCGTGGTTCTTATACTACGTTCTCTACTTGTGGGTCTATTCAGACCTTTTATGAAAAAGAAGTATACCAATGTGGCAACAAATTCTGAATTTTGAAAATTCTTTTCTAATATACATTGATGAAAATTAAGAAAGCCATGGCCTTTTAAAGATAACAAGTAGTCTGTCTACCTTCCTTCCTGACAGGAAAAAAAAAAATCGATGTTTTGGGTATCTGTTCTTTTAATCAGTGTTCTGTGTATAAATTCAAGATTTAGTTGTAAATGTAGAACATGCACTACAAGCCATTTTGTAATCACTTTTAAACTTCACATGTAATAAATAGTTTGCCATGTTATCAGAGTATTTTATGTATTATCAGAGATAAATATTGATTTGTCATTATTTGTTGAACCAATCTCCCAGTTTAGGACCCTGAGAGAGATTTCCCAACTTGTATTGATTAGCGACAAATCCTTTGGGAGTATTCTTTGAGCACAAGCTACACACATCTATTATTTGAATGAAAAACTGAAATAAAAGGAGAAAAACATGACTACTTCTAAAGTATGGGGAAGATTTTTATTACAGATATAAGCGAGAAAGCAGGCAGAGGAAAGAGTCCAGGCTGAACATGGCCGCCAGACCAAGATGAGGTGGAGGGGGGAGAGCAAGAGAGGAGCAGCTGACCAAGAGAGGCAGCTGAGGCCAAGAGACTACAGAGAGCAGTATAGCCCAAATGGCTGAGTTATGTGGGGATCACACTGGGAAGGGAAGAGATGGCCCAGGCCCTGGGAGGGAGAGGTGTAGGGTAGGATGAGAAGTGCTGGGAAGAGCCTTAGCTACTGAGTGAGACTTGTCTTGGGTTTGAGACCTACCATTCCAGCTTTTTGTTGATGGAACCTCTTCTGTAATGACTCCCTACTGAAATAAGGGCCTCATTGTCAGGGGCCCAGGAAAGCTGGAACAATGGTCAAAGGATAGAGAGAGGAGTACAGGATGGGGAGGGTGAGCCAAGGGGGGGATCTGTTTTGCTTGCTGCTCATGTTGTGTGAAATCACTGGGGCTAGGAAAGAGCAGGCTGCTTTGGAAACAGTTGGATATCGGTTCCAAGGAACATGGGAGACTGGAACTTTGCAGGCAGTGTTGGAGTCATCTGCAGTTGATTAGAAGTCTCCGGGGACAAACAGACTAGGAGGAGAAGGTAAAGTTAATGAGCTTAGGGGAAATTTTTTATCTTGTGTGTACACTTGAAACTTCCAGGCCCACGGTCATGGGAGTTGGGGAAGGGGGGGGTCCTAAGACCAGGGAAACGGAAAAATCCCACACTCAGGAATAGGCAGGATGGGAAACACGCTATTGGTTGACAGTACTTATCTGGAGGCCTTTTGGCCTAGGGCAGATGTATGCACATCTCACGCCCCCCTGAAGTTTACAAGATTTTTTGAATTAAAAGGGGTAAAATTTTATATATATTAGCCTTACCACTTTTTAAAATCTGCACTGAAATTCATATTGTAGAAAAGACAGTAGACTCATGCCTTTGAGTAATAGTAAAAGCATGGGAACCCAAAAATAATGATTTTGGATTAAAAGCATTAACACTCTTTTCAGAGGGCTGTATATACAGATTAGACAGAGATGTTTTTGGTATGATTGAGAAGCACTTTTAAATCTATACTTAGAAGACAAACAAAGGGAATTTAATGTCTTGAGCTTTGTGACTGATAACAGTATTCAGTGCTTATCAGAACTCCATTGATTAATTTTGAGGTCTTCCTATAACAATAGTATAGAGAGGGAATGAAATCTGGATCATTTTAAAATCTGTTTTGTGAGTTTCTCTCAGAAGTGAGGTCTCTCATCAAGGTAAACTGTGTCTTCCTTTCTCAGCTGGAGACAAGGTAGTTCGAAGAAAAGGCAAGGCTTAATTTCACGTTTAAAATGAAGTGAGAAGTCAGCTGCAGCTTTGGGGAAGGAGCTGGTATATTTGTTGTTGTTGAACCGACAATGCTAGTTAGCCTATGCTCAGTGCCATCGGATCTGAGAAGGACAAATCATAGCAGGGAGTATAATCTAAATGGTCTATGCATCAATCAAAATGAGGGAGACTTACTGATACCTGGGCAGTTACTATAGGCTCCTGTGGTCTCCATGGCTTTCCTGGGGGCAGTCGTCAGTCTTTGGCGGTCATACAGGGCAGCATTAAATCTTAAGCTGCTGCACAGGACAGCATTTGTCACACACAAAAGGTCTGAGAGATTTTCCTGTGAAGAAGGAAGTGGGGAAAATTGACCTGCTGTGATGAGGCAAGGTAGGGAGAGATCAACCCAAAAGTGTCCACAGTTTGGACAGGGGAGGCAGGGGGTAGCTATTTTTCTAGTCATCAGTGTTGCCAAAATCTCTGTGTACCAGTGGCCCCATCTATCTTCTTTGGAGGCCTTAGTCTTGCCTCTCGGAGCTAGCATTCCTGTCTGTCATGGGAAACTTTTTGTTTTTTTAATTAAACATATTAAATGTCATATTCGGTAGACCTCTGAGGAGTCTGAGGATCATAATCTATTGAGACATGAGTTAAGTAAACTTTACTTGTTTTTAGTTACTTGTTTTGGGCTTAACTTTGAAAACACATACAGGAGGCTAAGTAAAGCTTGTTTCTGTAAATGAGTTACATAACAGTTTATGAGTTAGTAGCTTTTGTAAGACTAGGATTTTGCAGCTTCTTCCCTGTCAAGAAAAAAAAAAAAAAAAAAAAAAAACTTGAGTTGATTTATCAAAGATCTCTTAGCATCCCAAATTGCCCTTGGTTTGAGAACTAACACTATTATCACTATTATTTCCTTAGAGGCTTACAGACTTTTTCCTTACATGGCAGTCATTAAAGCCATAAAGGGCTTTTATATTAATTTATTTAATTTCCTATCCCACGAGGAACATGTGTTTTTATAGCTGAAAAGAAGGCTGGGAAGCAAGTATGCAGACTTAGGTCTCAAGGCACACGTTCTGAGATTCTAAAGACACCAAGTGCCTCTGCTGATAGTTTTATAAACATTCCAGAAATCTGGGCTAGTCTTCCTCATGTTGCCTTGCAAACAATTGGAGAAATTTTCTTGTAAAATTAAAAATTAATTAATTAATTAATTATAGAAAGAGACACAAGCAGAGAGAAAGACACACACAGGGAGAGAGAGACAGTCATGGAGCGCTTGTGGAGGTCTGTTCTTTTTGAAGTCTGTTCTCTCATTGTACCATGTGGGTTCTGTGGTTCAACTCAGATAAGCAGGTTTTTAAATGCTGATGCAGTTTGACAACCTGGCTATTTAGCAAAATCACAATAGTAAATTTACCAGATTCCCAAACCCTTGTATTCTGCATGCTTCCAAAATCACATGAATGACACCAAGGTCACTGCCAGGTCCAGCATCAACTGGACTAATGGTGATGATGGCTGCAGTGGCCACTGGTTGCCTGAGTGGATGAGCATGGTAAAATGGATCTTGAGAAAACGATTTCCTAGGCATCTCTGTGACAGTAGGTGCCAGAGAGGTGCTTTTCTTAAAGGGAGGTATTTCAGATAAACATAGACTTTTCTAATCTTGAGCTAAGGTGGGGCCTTGCAGATTCAGGAGATGAACATTAACTCAAGAAATCTTTCTTATTTTTCAAGTGAAAAATATTTGGCTGTTTTTTTAAAGGTTCTAATCTCTTCAGACACCATGGATCCCATAGCCTCAACTTTGCTTGGCTTTCTGAGCAAATTACAAAGCTTTCATTTTTGCTTTTTGCTCCTAATTCTTATTTTCTAACTCTCACTAGGTTATTAACATGTACAGTCAAATCTCCAATAGGCCTTCACTCCCACTGAAGTATCATAAATAAAGTCTTCACTGCACATGCTCTTATCAACAGTTGGTCTCCTGAGCTCCATCAGACTCACACATTAAGCTTTGCTTATATCAGTCATGGGTTTCTCTAGCCTACAACTCTGAATTTTTACAGATGCCTCAGGCACACTATTTCTAGAGGCTTCCAAATCACATTGTCAGGACTTGTCACAATAAACACCCCACCTCACAGTATCCAAGTCACTGGGATTCCTTAGAGGAGTAGAGCCATTAAAACAATACATGTGTAACATAAAAGTGGTCCATTTAATTGCATTATATGACTGAAAGCTGCATAGTCAAACCACGGTCATCTATACACTGAGAGCCAAAAACCTGGAAGTTTCTTAGCCCAAGAAGATGGAGGCCTCAGGACAAGGAGACCAAGAATGCAGCCTCAGTTGGATTGCTGCTCCAGGACTAGAAGCTGGAGGGTCGTGGTATGAGTTTTCATTGAACGTTTGAAGAAGCTGGAGTTTTGTGTCAAGAGGTCATTCAACAGAACTTGAACACGCTTGCTGCCTTCCTCTGTGTTCCCTGTGTAAACCTGGTCTCCCAGGTCTCCACAGAGCTTGTTTCTTCTCCATCCATTTTCCCTTTGCAAAGAACGGGGAATGGATGACTTAGTTACACAAGCCCTGCACCTGGAACATAAGTGAGAAACAAGACTAGGTAATGCCTAAGCAGTGTAAACTTGTGGTTTACTTGTGACAGAGGCTGACGTTGTCCTAACTGCCAGGAAGACGTCTGCTTTAGGTAGTTTGAAAACTATTCATGTCTGATGCGCATTTAAAGCAGCGCTGCCAGTCCAAAGCTCACCCAGCAAAATGCTGTTTTCCTGTGCAGGAGTAAAAGGAAAATCTAGTAGTCTTTGTCTCCATTCATTCATTCATTCATTCATTCATTCATTCATTCATTCATTCAGTGCATTCTTTTATTTGTTATAGCAATGATGCAAAGGTAAGTTTTTCATTCTATGCAGCTTCTGGCACAATATTAATATTAATATCAGACCTCTCTTCAGTTTCTGGCAAAATATTAATATTAATGCTAATATTAATATTGTTCTAAAGAATCTTGACTTGTTATTTGTGTGTGTGTGTGTGTGTGTGTGTGTGTCTGTGTGTGTGTGTGTGTATGCATCCGATGCTCTCATTGCCTTCTCTCTGGAGTAACACATTCTGAAGTAACCAATAGATTCACTTGAGTTTGCATATATTTGCATAGAATTGGCTTCTCTCTATATTTTTAATTTATTGATATGCTAGAGTTTTGCTGTAGATCTCATTCCAATTTTGTTTTCAATTAAAAAAGAAACTTAATCTCAGTATCTATTGATATGGCACATGTTCTCATTTGTTAATCCTAACCTACAATATAAAATTTCATTCTGCCACCTCATTTTAATTGACTTCCAGATTGCCTACAGTTCCTTACTCTAACAAATAATGTAGGGTGGATGGTAAATGCTGTCTCTTTTATGAGACTGACTAAGAATTAAGTTGAGAGAAGAGTGGGGTCACAGGGTCCCTGGACCTATGCACACCTAATGTAAAGCAGCTTTCGTGGTACTCCAGTCTCCTCAACAACTGGATTTGGCATCTTTTCTAAACCTTTCCCGCTTTGATAGACGGAGAATAAAATTTGCAGTAGTTCATGTATTTCTAATTAATAATGAATACCATCTCTTAAGAAACTATGTAGCCATTTGAATAGTCCCTTCTATAAATAAATATATATATATATTTCATTTCCCCTTAGTTCATATGAAAATCTTTTAGGAGGCAAAGAAATACATCTTTGCTTCTTACAATATCCTACACAAGCGTCTTAGAGATTGTCGCAGGCTTTCTGTAATCTAGCATAGCTTTCCTCCCTGAACTGTGTTTCAGGTTCCATCTCCCACAGAGGTGTCCATGGGATGTGTTTCGTGCCTTCTGGGATGATGTCAAGGAGGAACACTTCATCTTAGAAAAATAAACATCAATGTAACAGGTAATTCATTCCTTGATAAACTCTCTTCTCTCAGTTTTTCTTGAATTTGCAATGTCCCTGGTAAGTGAAGGCATCTTTTCTTAAAAAGAAAACTGTGCCAGGCAATGGTGGTGCATGCCTTCAATCCAAGCACTCAGGAGGATCTCTATGAGTTTGAGGTGAGCGAGCCCTACAGAGTGAGTTCCAGGATAGCTAGGGCTACAAGGAGGAACCCTGTCTCAACAAACATACACAAAAAGGCAAGCTGCAGATTCCCAAATATTTACCCATTTTCCTCTATGTATCCTCACAAGGAAATGAAAAGCACCCTGTAATCAAATCCACCCCTTTTCTGTTTTGTAGTGGAGGGGATGAAGTTTAGAGAGATGTGAAAATTCTTCAGTATAGAACCTTCTGGAAATCTTGCCAATGCACCATTCTTGTTCCATTTTCATTTGTTCTTTTCATTTGTAACTACATTCATGCAACTTGCTCAAGTGAAATGAGAATGAAAAAAAAAAACAGCGTCTGGAAAGGAAGAGAAGGATTAGACACAGAGTTCTGCTAGGATGTAGCCATCCTGATCTAATGCACCATTGGCAGGCAAGCTTGGGCGTGCAGGATTTCAGGGGCTGAGGCTCCCAGGCACAGCTGGTACTCAGCTGGTTCTGTTACTAACTGCATGCTGCCTCAGTGTCTCTCATAAACTCAACTGATGCTTTTTAGATATTTTTTTTAACTTGTAGCACAGGAAATTTTTCCTCAATGCATGTAAGAGCAGTTTGATTCCCCAAAGAGAAAGACTTGGCAAGTCAGTTATGAGAGAAGTAGAAGCTGGAACCCATGAGCACATTTAACAATATCCAAGTGTAACTTTTCCTGCCAACAGTAGGCCTGCACTGGAATTTGAAACACAGTCCAAATGCTAACTGCAGTTGTTTTTATCTATGAGCAGAACACTGTGGTTTCATTCTGAGATGAGCCACTTTGTTTCCATTTACTGAGTAAATATATCTGATTTATTTTCATTAGGGAGTTGAAAGGGTTTTGCTGTTATTTGTTTGTTTTGATGTGGGGGGGGGGATGTGTGTAGGGGTGTATCTCCCTAGGAAGAAAAAAGATTAGGTCTAGTATGAATGTGACAGAATAAACTTTTACTGAAAGGCTTGTTAAAGAAAAGCCAACATATTATCTGCCATTACAATGAAGAAGAACTCCAGTTTAGGCAATAAGAGGGAAGCTTGGAACTTAAGAAGCCCAGGACTTTGCTGTCAGTGTCAATAGTGTCTTTACAAAGTTGGCCTGAGTTGCCAAGTTAGCAATATTAAGCTCTTTGTGCTGTGTGCTCTTAATTTTGCCCAGGGTTTTGAGTGTTTCATGGCAAGGTCTAGGGACACTTACTCACTTACTAACCAAAATGAAGTTTGTCTGCTTCTGCTCTTCAGTAATGGATCAGTGGTCAAAATAATCAGTTAAGCCATCAGTTTGATGAAGTAGGGTAAGTGAATGCCTGCTACCTGTAGGAGCTTTTGGGTTTCAGTTGGTGCCATGATTTCAATGCTAAATAGACACCAGTAAGAAAAAACTTCAGCCACCATTGTAGGGTGATCAACTATTTTTCTCTGTCTTTGGCAGAAAAAAAAATGACTAAGAAAATGGCATTGCCTCTATTAACTTACTTTCTTCTTATTTTTTTTTTAAATTAAGGCAATACTGTATGGCAATGTACATATTTCCAAGCCAAAACCACTTCCTGATTTTAGCTTTATCATATAGTTTTCATTGTATAATAAACAGATATCATATGATACCATACGATATACATTTTAACATATACTTACTCTCCTCACTAAGCAAAAAGAAAAAGAAAAAGGAGATCCAAAAAGAACAAAATGAAACCAGTATTATATTAAGCTCTCTGTGAAGGGGCTCAACCTATTTTGAAAACAAAACAACAAAACAAACAGGGGTTTTTATTCACATTTGTTACATCTGGATGTTAAGCCCAAACTGAGGTTAATTGCTGAGGTTAGAAGCATTTTAAGTAAATAGCGTAAGAATAGGGAAAGACAAACAGTCACCCTGGAAAACACTTTTTCCCCATTGTTTTGCCCCCTCCCTGCCCGGGGTTCTCAGATTACCATCACATCATTGACAATACAATACACTGCTTTAAATTTAGCAGAATGAATTGTCATTGCTGTGGCTTTCTGCCAGTGAAGAGTTTATCAGCCTCCATGCCTCCATCTTTGGATAGGCCAGTACACACCTTAATGTAGAAAGAACCCCTTGAGTGAGCGGGCTGGAAAGAGCTCCCCTGAACCATGGCTTTACTGGGTCTTGCGTCCTCTTTTCTCATTTATTGGCAAAACCTTTTACTATATCTTCTTAGTCCCCTGTCCTTTGTTAGCTACAAAGAGCAGATTTTCCTTTGTAAATCCGTAGTAATTAAATGAGCACTTCAGTGGCTGTAGCTCTCAATGGTCTGTTTCCTAGGTTTTGCCTTTGACAGTCCTATTTTGCAAAGGCCCCTGAGATGACTGGGTACCTTCCCCTACTTAACACTAAAGCAATTGGTGTCTGTGTTCCCCGCATGAAGGAGGAAGAGATTCATTAAGGGTACTTCATTAAGGGGCTGAAATGGGAGACTCTAAATGTGCCTGAACCGTCGGAGATCTAGAGGACCTGTCTATTACAAGTGCCACAAAGACTGTTTCGGAAACTGAACTCCAGCTCCAGTGGGCGGATTAGGAAGAGTGATGGGATTAGTGTTTAATGACTTGGGGCAGGAGACAAAGGAATTTCCACAAAGAGGCTTAGATATGGAAGAATTAACACTCTCTGTTCCAACCAGGCCTCCGATGACTTCCAGCACTCTTTTCAGACTCAGAAGCCAAGGAAGAAAATGAGCAAAGCTGTAATACTTTCCTAACTTTCATTTTCAACAAAAATAAAGAGGAAATAAAAGAACTCTCTTCCCTTGAGCCCTCTCTTAAAAAAAAAATGTCCCTAGTTGTATAAGTAGCCCCTATGAGCTTGTCCAGTACTCCAGGCCTATGCAGAAGCCTCTCTGCTTCTTAGCACCAGGGTAAGTCACACCCAGATGTGGACATGGAAGCAAAAGCCTGTGGTGGTTTCCCAACGCTGTGGTCCAAGCACTTTCTTTTTCCGGGCTGTTGATGTTTCAGGTGCAACAGGAGTGACAGAGAGAAGCAGGCTTCATCAGAATCTCTGCCTGGCCCCATCTGGCTCAGCACACAGATTCCAGCCAAGAGTGCTTCACTAAAGAGGCGATTATCCTGACTGCGTGAGGCAAAGGTGCTTCAGGTTTGAAAGTGCTCTTGAAAAGGCGTCAAGTCAACTTGGGAGTAGCGTGGAGTTTATCTCCAGCATTCTTCCTGCTCGGACAAGAATACAGTATCATTATCTAAACACAAGCCAAATGTAAGTGGCTGACCCCTGGGTGGAGTATCGTTCCTGGGGCTGCTAAGTCAATAGCCGCGGAGCACCAAACGCCTGGGCACAGAGCCGTTGATCCCACTCTCCGTGGCCACTGCAGCCCAAGCGCAGGTGCGTGCGAGTTACTGCGCAGCCCACAGTACAAATGGCGCTGCAAATGAGCCCGATTGAAACCAGCTCAGCGTGTCCTTATTTTCACCCAAACTAAATTACTTGCAGAAAAGCTGAGTATTCATTTCATGTATTAGCTATACGAAATGGTCCTGGTGCAGTTCTAGACACCAAGGTATTGTTTAACCAGTGTGGTTTAGTAGGGCAAGGGCAGCCCCCTGCCGTAATCCATTCAGGCAACACCAGCAGTCAGTGTGAAATTAAATACATGACAGGGAACGAATGTAATGCGTTTTATAGGCAGTTGTTCATCCACATCAAACTGCGGCTTTTAAAATCCTAGGATTTGATACCACAACAGGAAGAGCAGAGAGCCGCCGCAAGTCAGAGACGTTGGGAGCTAGACTAAAGGGGCAGAGCCCAGAGTTCAGTGAAAGCACAGTGGCCTGCCAGGAACCGTATGTAGTAGCCCTCTGGGCCCTGCTGAACCACTCAGATGCCAAAGGCCCAGCACACATTTGATGGAGTCGCTTCAGGGTTCGGGCCTGTGTTTATTGCCCATTGACTTTTCTGCTAACACGTTGATCGCAGGATCCACCTCTCTCCGGTGCTTCGGAACAGCTTTTTCCTGTGGTGAAGTCAAAGAAAGGCATACTGTGCTCCCCACCCCTCCCTCAGTACCCCTGACTCCAATGTGGTCTAGCAGTCTGTGCTTTATTTGTAAAATCTTCCATAGAGATTTTTCAGGCATACGAAAGCTTGGAAAATGTCCCAACTTTTAGAAAGGAAATTGAATGGTTTTATCATTCAGGCAGCTTTCCCGTGGTGCTGCAACCTCTTATGATCGTGCGCATGCGTGCTCGTGTGTGTGTGTGTGTGTGTGTGTGTGTGTGTGTGTGTGTGTGTGTG